GGAGATCTCTTTTCTTACTTCTCACCGTCGAGGAAGGGGCGCGGGAACCCTAAGGTTATGAGTGTGGTGATGGGCGGCCGGACTGTGTTACTTTTCTTGGCTAGGTTTGGGAAGGGCATCAGCGCCCCGCGAGGTTACCTGGATGCGACTCACATCCTCACTCCCCCCCACATCTTTAATGGCGGAGTCTCGGGAGGACGGAGATCGGTCCGAGCCTCTGGCTAGGTTGGGGCGGAGCCGGAGGAGACCTGAATTGCGCGATGAGTCCCGAGTCTGGGCTCTCGGTGCCGCAGACCCACCCCCTGCGGGGAGGGGCCTGCGCGCCTTGGTGGCTGCTCCTTTGTTTGCCCCTAGGCGCCGGCCTCGGCAGCTTGTCCTAGAACACAGCCGGAGCATCTGGGGCCTCGGCGGAGCCCGAAGAGCATGGATTGTCTCCTGCTGGAAGCTGGGCGGACTGAGCCGGGATAGTGCCTGTCATGAGCTCGCGCATTCAGAGGCTTTTTGACTTCTGCTTCCCGATGCACGTCCATGAAAGCAGAAGGGATTATGCCACCCAAAATGGATGGCTGGCGGTAGGGAGGAAGTGACACTGCGTCTGTAGAACCGTTTTCGCTGTCAGCCCCTCCCCGTCGGTCCTGTCTTCCCCCAGGACAGCCCAAGACTGCAGCCTCTTGGGGCCTGGAGTGGAGGCCGCACCCAGCGATACTTGTTTACTTAGAGCTCTGCTGAGGCGCAGGGTGGACTGGGAGTTGGGAGAGGCGGCGGTGACCCGTTCCCTCAGCTCCAGACTCGGTGCACAGGCCCTACAGGGCAGAGCATCCCTAGATGCTCGTTGCCGGAGAAGCCCAGGGCGCTGTATCTCAGAGGACTGGGTGCAGGTGCGAGGCCCCGGGAATACTGTCTCACAGCCAACGGCACATCCCATACCGCCCACAAAAAGCCACTGAGACGAGACATGGCGAGTGCCTTGCAGAGGTCTCTGTCTGGGCTGATATCGGAATTACTGGAAGCCCTAGGGATAACTCTACACAGCCTCGAGTCAGGAGAACAGGGAATGTCCAGAGCACGTGAGATGTTTGTTCATCTTTCGTTGGCTTATTATTTTGGTCAGGGTACTTTTCCTAACTGGTGCTCTGTACCCAGACCTTGCTGGGCCTGGGGACTCAGAGATAAATCAGTCTCCCTTCAGAGGTCGGGAGGCTCACTGCAGCAACTCTGTAATTACTGTGGAGAAAGATGAGGGCAGTGCTGGGGGCTCAGAGAACGCCCCTGGCTTCAGGGCCTCCACAGGGCTAAGTAGGAATTGGAGAGATGGACAAGGAGTAATGAAGGCCTTTCAGACAGAAAACAAATTTCCAAAGACTTGGAGACAAGACAGTATCTGCAGTGGGCAGCAACCGAAAGTGAGGCTGGATGAGTGGGCAATACTGCAGGCCACTTCAGGGTGTCTGGACTTTATTCTGATGGCAGCAGGGAGCCATGGAAGGATTTAGAACAGGGGACTAACATGGTCAGAATTCTGAATGGATCATTAGATGGAGAGGTGAGAGATTGGAGGCAGAAGATAACAGCAGTCAAAGGAAAGGGGTAGATAGCATTAGGTGGATAGAACATTCTCCCAAAAAGCTGCTCTGCCTTCAGATCATCTTCAACCCTGAGGACCTGAGATTGGAACTTGGAGCCCAACACCATGTCTGCTCTGCAGCTCTCTGCCCCTAACAGATGGCTGGCCCACCTATTAGTACTATATGTAACATAATCCTGGAGTACAAGGCCCCAGAAGCTTAGCCAGCTCAGCTCCCCCTCCTGTACAAGACTTAATGCAACTTCAGGATGTGCCCTCCTCCCCACACACATACACCTCCCAGGTCGTCATTTGAATTGAGAAAATGAGCCTTATCCAGTCCCCCTTCCCTCCAGACATGACTTCATCTGAACCAGGGGCCTGGGTATGTTAGCCCCACCACTGTAGATGGCTTGAAAAACTGATTCATCAAATGCTTCTTAGAAGGGGGTCACGTCTTAAGCATGGTCTGGTAGAAACTGAGAACCCTAGTCTGGAGTGCTGTGGGCTACGGCAGGGGTGGGCACCAGCTGCAGGAGTTATCACCACCTTTGTAAGAAAGGCAGCAATCGCTGGGGGTTCTGGGGGCTGTGACTGGACCTGTCTCCTCCCTCACGCTTATGTACACATTCTGTCCCCCTTTACCCTCAGCTAGGGCCAGGGCCTCCCTCCATGAGCTCTTTCTCAGGCCATCTCTGACTCCAGAGCTCCTGTAGGAGACCATCTGACCTATGCCAGCCCTCTGGGAACCCTGTGAAACCAGAGGCCCAGGGGGCAAGTCCAGTATTCAGATCCCTGACTGGGCCAGGCTGGTGGACAAGTATTGTGTAGATCTCTATATCCTACCTCTCCCTCCTGTGTGAATGCCCGCCAGGCCCAAGATTTAAGGAAAGTCCATTTGTTTCATCAGCTGCCACAGGCCTGGCCCTAGGCCCCCAATGTAGAAGGCACTCCTGTGTCCTCTGGCAGAGTCAAGGGACAGCACAGTTTAGGGCCTGCCCAGCCCAGCCTCCTTGTTTCACATTAGGGGAAACAGGAGCCTTAGAGGAAAGCCAACGTTTAGAAAACTCTCCATGCCACACATCCACCCACAAGCTCTTCTTTAATTTCTCTTCTGTGCCGGGTCCCCACTCCCCCAGCCAAGGCTAGGCAGAGGGAACGGGGGAACTGCCCTTGAGCAGCTCCCAATCTGGGCCAGAGGGATGAGGCCAGCCAACTACAATCTAAGAAAGTTAGTTGCTGAAGTCAGCACCGGGCACTGGGAAGCCAGGGTCAGCACTTTGTCCTCAAATGCCAGGCTGAGGAGTTTGGGCTTGATCCAGAGGGCAGTGGAGAGCCATGGCAGAGTTCTGAGCAGGAGGGAGACCTGAAAGGATCTAAGATTACAGGACTGCAGGGTTAAGAGTTTCACTACCAATCTGTGCACAAAGTCCAGTCTTCTTACTGTGGCTTTCAGAGGACCTGCCATCCTCTCCAGCCTTACTCATCTTTCGTCTCTTGCCCAAATGACTTGTCCCCAAAATGAGCTAGAAGCAGCCCTCAATCAAGGTGACTGGGATAGATGGATAAGCATTGTGGCCACTAGCCCAGAAAGAGGTTTGGGAGTCTAAGTGGCCCAGTTTAAGGTGGGCATAGTGAGAGCAGTGGGTGGAGTTTTCAGGCCTGACTAGGCTCTCCCAGCCTGTCCCAGCCCCTTGGGCAGGCCACTCTGATACCAGGGGAGATACCACTTAAAAAAGCCCTTACCCAAGTGGTGCTAAAGTAAGACCTTTTGAGGCCTAATATATTCAACCAGGGTCTCTGCCAGATATCCTCAGTCATGGAACACACACTAGCCCCTCCCTACCTGCCTCCCCTGTGGCTGACCCTCTCCCCAGTGCCTTCCCTGGGCCCCCACACCCCAGCAGCAAACCTCTGTCCCTGCCTGTCACTGCCCATAACCCACACATGAACCTGACCATGCCAGAGAAGGGGCTTCCTCAGGGACATGACTTTGGTGAGAAAAGAGGCCTGAAGACTGAGCCCAGTCCCACCAGGGAGGTGGATCTTGGACTCAGTGCTGGGCCCCTACAGGGTCCCTCTGCAGCTCTAACCGGCCCAGGGTACCTGGGGGGGCCACTGGGGCCTCTGTCTGCTCTGTTCTAGTGGGGCTATGAGGAAAGGCAAAGGGAGCATTTTGACTGAAAGTTTTTAGTTAAGAAAAATTAGAAATAAAGGGTGTCTCAAGTTTGGTGGCTGAGGCTGGACCAAGCCTCAATGTCTCTCCTGGGTGGAGCCTCTTCTCCGGGAGCACTGGTCTAGGAAATTAGTTAGGCAGCCTTGGCCTGCAGTGACCCCATTAGCCATGCAGTACCCTATCACAGGTCAGCCTATTTATCTCCCAGCCAGCCTCACCTAGCCTCTGATCCCACTCTCAGAGGAGGCCCTCGGGCTCAGAGAGGACTAGAAGTGACTTGTCCAAGGTCAAACAGTGATGGGCCCTGGCAGGCAGGTGGTAGAGCTATATCCTTATCTGCACACAGAACAAGTGTGTGTAGCAGGGAGGGGCAGTGCCAGAACTAGACAGAGGCCTCACCTACCCAACCCTTGGTTCAGAGGCCAGCAGGGCCAGGGACTGTACAGGGCTGCCAAGGAGCAGTGAAGCTGGCCCGGGGGTGATGGCAGGAACAGGGGAGGGAAGAGAAGAGAGGGCAGCAGGGCTCCTCCTGTGCCCCAGGCCTAGGCCCAGAGGGGGAATCCCCCCTCACCTAGAGAGCCTGGAAAAGATAAGCAGCAGCATGTTTACAGCTGAGGAAGAGGGGGGAGGGGAGCAGCCCAGGGCAGGGACCCTTGGTCAGAACGCCCCTCCCAGAAAGCGGGGGAGGCCCCAGAAGATGTGGTAGCCTTGTTTGCTTCTCACTGCCAGGAGGAAATTAAACAGAATCTGCCACTTCCTTCCGCCCAAAGCGGAATGGTAGGGGAGCGGTGGGGGAGGGTAGTGTGGGTAGACTATGCCCCAAACTACTGTTATCAGCAGCCACCAGTGCCCCCTGCCCAGAACAGGTACCTCAAGACTGAGCTCAGCCAGCTGTCAAACCTGGCGAAGACTCTGGGGGTCAGGGCCAGCACCCCCTACTCTGCTGGGCTAGACCCTTTCTGGGGCACCAGATACCCTAGTCTTTCCCCCAGATTCCGTATCACCTCTCATCAGGAAAGTCAACTGATGCCTAGTGCCTCAGGTTTACCATCAGTTGAATGGGCTTCTTGGGCCTTCCTGGTTCAGCTCAAGTCCAGTGAGCCTGAAAGGTGATACACCACCCACACCACTCAGACGCATAAGGATGGGTAGGGGAGTATGCTTCAGGAAACACAGAGGGCAGGGAAGAGAATAATTATGCCAGGACAAAAGTCTGTGCACTAAATTCCCCAAGGCTAAAGCAGCCAGCCATGGGTGGGGGTGGAACATCTTTATTGCACTTTACTGATGTCAAGGGGAAGGTGCCACCTGAAAAGCTCCTGTTTTCAAAGAAAATACTGAGGACGCTAAGAACTTGGTCCTATCACTTAGGCCCACCAAGGGAGATGGGATCCACTCCTGGGCAACCCTTAGCCTGTGCCCCAAGATGATGGCCCAAGACCTCTAACTCTTGCCAGGCAGGGCCAGCAAATTGCCCAATGGTGTCTGTTCATGTTCCAGTGCCCAGAGTCATCTTAGGGCCAGGCCCATGGAGGAGGTGACCAGGCAGCGACAGTGGTCACCGGCCTTCCAGCAGGCTCTCTTCACCACTTCCCAAGGCCAGAAGGGGCTTCTTGCACAGCTCCCCAAGCAGTGCTGGCTCCTGAGCTCTGGGACTTCCAGGATCTTGGTCAGGGCCCTCTCGCTTGCGCTTGCGCGGGCAGGGGCTCTCCTCACCCAGCCGACCCTCGGGGAGGCCCTGGCTCCGCAGACAGACGATGGCCGCAGCCTGCTCTGCCAGTTTTTTGGACTTGTCCCTGGGTAGAGGGGGGCACGAGGCAATAAAGCAGGTGAGCTGGTTACACAACTACAGGTTGGTAGACCTGACTCTGAGATTCTGCCAAAGTAAGGAAGGGGTCATCACCCGGGAACACTACTGCCCAGGCACCCCATCCCCCAGCCCTTCCAGGCCTACGCTGGGTTCAAGCCCCCACCATAAGCCTCATACGCACTGATGAAGGAACTTACCACAAGGTGGACTGGTACTTTTGCTCAGCAACAGTAACAACAGAGCAGAACAGACGATCTAGGGGGCGTTGAATCTGGTGCAAAGAGAGCAAAGGAAACAGATGGCTGCACGGAGGCAAGGGGACCAAGCCCTGGAGGCCTACAAGCCAGGGTCACACTGCAGGAAGATCAAGGGAAGCACTTCCCACCTAAAGCAAATGAAGAGCTCCAAGCTATCTGTACCACATGCTCCTCCTCAGAGAAGTGCCTGCTGCCTCTTCCAGGGAAGAAAGGCAAATACACAAATAGACACTGACATCACAGTGTGTCAGGAGTTCTGTCATGGACCCAAGCAGAAGGCGATGAGAGTCCTTAGCTGCATGTGACTAGGGAGCCTCCCCTGCTGACATCCGGATTGGCCAGGTCCCTAAAGATGAATTCACCAGATGACAAACAGGTCAGAGGGGACAAGGACAGGACCAGAGAAGGCATACCTGGCAGAGGGACCAGGTGATGAGGCTGCAGCAGAGGGCTGAGGGGATGAGACTTGAGGTGGAAAGGCATGTGGGGGGTCTCATGCTCCATGTTGAAGTGCTGGAGCTTGATCCTAAAGGCACTTGGGTAGGAGGTCATCTGTGTTTTGGAAAAGTCACTCTGGCAGAGAAGGACACAAGCCTGTAGGCCAGGAGGCCAGTCCAGACAAGACGGAGTAGGCTAGACAAGGCATGGCCACAGGGACCAAAGGAGGTAAAGCAAGATGGCCTCAAGGTTTCCACCCCAGGAGCCCCACATCTGAGGCCCAGTACTGTGTCCCACTGACTGAGGCCTGATCCAAAGGCATGTCTGTCTAACTTTTAGACTTCCTTCCTAAACTGATAAGCTCTTTTCTAAAAAGTCTGCCCTGCCTCAGCAACACCACTGCCAGGGACTGGCCCAGGCAGCCCTTTGTTCAGTTTTCTGAAAGTGGCTTGAATTGGACAACAGGCCCACTGACAGAGGGGAAGGGCTACCAACAATTGGCCTAGTCACTAACAATCTCTGCATGCCCACAGAGGGCAAGGCCAGCCTCCAGTCAGGCAGTCTAGAGCTCAGGAAGAAGCTGGGGGTGTACTGGGGTTGATGGCACCAACTGTGGCTGTGCTGTGGGGCTGGATGCAGGGCCACCACAGCTAGAAACTCACCGTCTCATACACTGGCTGTGCCACCTTCTCCCTCCGGCACCACTCCAGCAGGCACATCTTGGGGGTGATCTGGGGTGGGTATGCTCTCCTGGGACAGGAGGTTAAGAAGTTAAGGCCTACCCACCATCACCACTCTGTCCCTCAGCAGGGGCCCTACTCAGTTCCTGATAGAAGATACAGGAACTGAGACATCACCCTGCTGCCTTAAGGCTCCATCCCTATCCCATGGGCTCCCATCTTTGCCCCAGCAGCAGCTTAGGGCCTAGGTTCTACTTAACAGTGGGCTTTGACATGTTTGTGAAGTTAGGGGTGGGAGTGAACCCCAAGCACTCTGGAAAACAGCCTTCAACAGCCAGGAAGGCCCAGTTTGCCTCTCAAGACAAGATCAGGAGGCAGTGCATGGAAGTGAGGAACTTAGGAGGCCAGATAACAGCCTCAGGAATCTAGCTCACCCTGACTATGTCTGCCAACTCTCAGCATGATCCAGGTGCTGCCTTGGACATAGCAGACTCTGGTTCTAAAGTCAGTTGGTGGCAGGGTGATAGGGTGGGAATGGCCCTGCTCCAACTTCCCACTGGCAGCTCTCCCCAGCATATGATTGTTCAACAGCTGTCTCAAGGACCTCCACACCCAAGCTGGCTCCTGGGCTGGGCCCAGGGACTGGAGAAAGGCTCAGATCCCAGATGGCAAAGGGCAGAGAGGAGGACACCACTCAAATCCAAGGCAACAATCAGCCTGAGGCTACTTCTGCCTAAAGAGGGCACTGCAGGGCTGATGAGGAGCAGTGAGTGTGGGCAGGGGTTGCAGAGCCAGATGAGGGATGGAGTCCCGCTGCTGCTGGGGAGCTCCATGTGGGCAGCTAGTTCCTCAGGGCCTGGGAAAAAGCACAGCCCTTCAGGAATAGGGGAAGACAAGCCACTCCAGGCCCCACGTTGGGGGAGGGGACGGGTTAAGGAAAAGGTAATTCAGTCACCCTTGGGACAACACACACAGCCCTGACAGCACTGCCTGGGCTTTCAGGAAATGTCTTCTTCCTCGAAATGCCTTCTTTGGGATGCTGAAAATTGAAAACAAGTGTCTAAACCAAGGAGACCTGTAGTCCCTTAGCTTGGCATTAACTGTGTACAGCAGCCAGCTTACTGGCCCAACCAGATCCCAAGGGCACTGGCTGTGGCCCAAATTAAGGCCAAGCTGGAGACCTACCGGTCAAACTTGACAGCCATCTTAACGACACCAGAGGTATCTTCAACTGGCTCCCTTGCCTCCTCTGGTGTCCGGGCCAAAAGCTTGGCCCGCCGGGCATCCAGCTCCCGCGTGGTCTCCTCATAGAAGGCACCAAGGCCAAAGGCCTCACTGTAGAGGGAGAAGCAGAGTGGGACAAGCACCTTAGTATAGCCAATGTCCTGGGTTCTGCAGGAGCGCAGAGCTCCACCACTGAGAAACTTCTCCCCACATTACACCAAAGCACCCCACCAGAATGTGTCTCCTACCCACATCTGGGATCAGCCTGGACTGGAAGATGGAGAGTGAATGCCAGGATGGGCAGGCTGGGCTAGGTGGAAAAGGTTCTAAAGCTTACCTCCTGACCCTAACCTCTCTCCTGAGGAGGGACACACAGGTGGGTGTCCCCAGCCAGCAGTGATTGAGTAGACATAAGCTGATCAAGCACCTGAGGTATGCACAGCCTCATCCCATAGGAGGAAGAAATAGAGGCCTGACCACTGAGTGATTCCTCACCTCTCGCCTTGGTCACAAGCAGTACATGGGCCTGGACTAAACTGAGTGCCCTCTGAGGTGCTACCAAGTTATACTTTCTATCATGCTCACAAGGCACATGGTCAAGCTGGTAAAACTATGTGGGGTAGGGACAGAACCAACACCACAAGCCTAGGGTGGGGAGGCAAGTTCTGGTAAGGCTTTTTTCTTCTGGGAAGTATCTTGAGGGCTGGAGACCTTCCTAGAAGACGAATCCCTTGGGGCAAAAGTGGTTCAGAAAGGCTTCTTTGGAGAAGGTTGGATATAGACAGCCAAAGTGAAGGGGAGAGAGCATTCCAAGCAGCAGACCCAGGGCAATCACAGGTGTGGAGGTGGGAAAGCAGATGGGTAGACAGGCAGCTGTAGGAGCAGGGACTAGGCCAGATTGGGAAGGGCCTCAAAAGTCAACCACCTGAGTTGGTGCTACACCAGATCTAGAGAGCCATTGGGTGGCCTCTCAGACTGCAGCGTGATAAGGTGTGGGTGCAGGCACAGGCCAGGGGCTCCATTCTACAACCCAACTCTCCTGACCATTGGGTCTTGGTGGTCTGGCATGTGACAGGTCCATTTTAGGGAAAGCCCCTTTCTCCCCAGGAATTCCCAAGCCTAGTCCTCACAGTCCTCCATCCTACTAGTACCCTGGTTCCAAAAACTCAGCTGCTGAGAACAGTCCAGGCATGGAAAGTTCCAAACCTCCCCTCCCGTGAGGCAAAGCTGTATCCTCCCCAACACCCCCCCACCATGCCCACCTCCAGAGGCTGTGTCCCTGGCCCCAGAAGAGGCAGCTTAGGGCTCAGGGACAAGCCCAGCAACATCTGCAGGAGAGATGGAACAGCCTGTTAATCCTCTCACCAAATTTCCTGGGAAGACTGGGCGGCATGGAGCAACCTTCCTTGGGGTGATTCCAGCTGTTCTCGCAGCATCTGGCACAAGCAGTACTTGGTGTTGGTGTAATGGTTGCCATACTGCACCGCCTGAGAGGAGATCTGACATGAGCACCTGCTGACCTGGAGGGTCTGAGGCCTGGGATATGCTCTGACGAACATCAGAGATGGGCTTGCAGCCAAAGCAGTGTGACTCCGTTCAAGAGCCACCTCTTCCCCTCTTCTGCTCCTCCAGGGGGTGGTACAAAGCTTAAAGGCCACAGATGAGGCCCACAGTCAGAAGCACACTCTACTGCACAGCCCAGCTGAGGTCCAGAAGTGGAGGGAGCCCCGTCCTGCCTCAGTCACCATAGGCTACCACAAAGAATCTGCTGCCAAGCATCTACTGGGGTGGGGAGAAAACAAGCCAAACTCTGGCTTGGCAGATCCAGGCCCAGGACAGGGGTGAGACTTTCCTATTTCTTATCAACAGAGTGGGGACCTTCTCTTTCCACATCTTAAATAGCCTCTCTCCAATTTCTCTCTGCATGGGTAAAGCACAGTACCATTTACCGAGCATGTTTGTACGTGTCACTTGTCACTTCATTCATCTATACATAGTGAGATGCAGCTGTTACCTTCCTTCACAGACTGAGAAATGGAGGCAAGATTACTGCCCCATCAAAGCCTGGCTGGCTGGCGACAGGGCAGGAGAGAAGGGAGGCTAACACATCTCCCCATGTTGCAGCAGTGGGTGAAGGTTGCCCAGCCCTCTAGGACTCCCCACCCTCACCCCGCACACTGTTCTACTGTCTCTATCTGGGCGTATGTCCTTTGTGCCTGGGACAGAGCGGGGAATAAGTGAGTAAGCCCCAGGCAGCGGCAAGGCCTTGATTCAGCTTGTTTGGGACAGAAGGCACCTGGCTGGACCAGAAGCAAGCAGCCCTGCCTACGCGTGAAAGCTGCTCCTTTTCTCCGTGACAGCACGCCCTCTTGAGAAGCTGCCAAGGGACGGGCTGAACAGGAACATAACATCCCCTTTCACCCAGTGAGCAAGCTTAGCACTACTGAACGTGTCTGCTCTGCCACTGACTTGTCAGGCGGCCAGAAGAGCTGGACTGCTGACCTGGACCAGTGCAAGTGACTGCTCCCTTTGCTCAGGCTAACCCAGGACATTGGAAGGCCTGGTGGTCACCAATCTGCACAACAGGACACTCGGAATCAAGGGGATGAGGCAGCTTGAGGACTACAGCATTGAGCAGGGGAGGCTCCAGGACAGAAGCTGCCTAGCTCTGGACACAGGCCTCGGGCTTCTGACCATGCCTAGATTACACAGCCATGGACTCACCCACATACCATGGCAGCCACAACTGCCCACGCACAGCCATGGGTTGGAGAGGGCTTGACCTTTTCAGGCAGGTGAGACTGAAGAAGAGGGTGGAAATCTGCTCTGGGCCAGGGCCGTATCCTCTATTCAGGCCCCACTCATGATGATTTGAGGACCATTCACAGCCTCTGTATCTAGATACACAGGGTGGATCACAGAGTCCCACACAGTTCCAGGGTTGTGCCAAAGAGACAAGGGAGGTAACTTTACCAAAAAATTCTTTTGTAGGGAGATGCCCCTAGCACCACCTTCAAGCTCCCAGGGAGGAAAAACTGATTTTAAAAAAGCTATTCCCTAAGAAGAAGCTCATAGGCTAAAGCATTCTGGGAATGAGCAAGAGAAAAGTTTTAGAAGTGATTTTGACTGATGACCAAGTGAGAAATCACTATGGAGGTAATCTGTCCTCAATATCAATGTTGAGGCTCGTTGTGGCTGCTTTTGCACTAATCCACTGGCATGGGTGTCTTCAGTGACACAGACCCCACTGTCAATGTGCACGTGCATGTGTATGTGTGAGAGAGAAAAAGGTATCATGTGCTTGAGGCCTCATCAGCATCCTGGATCCAGGTCTTTGCTATGACCTCAACATCTCTAGAAGCTTTAGAAGGAGGTGATGGTAGGGACATATGTCCTCAGCATCCTCTCTTTGTCCTGCTGGGGAGACCCCAGTGCTACACTACAGGAACTAGAAAGAAAGGGAGAGAAACAACAAAGGCTGCTGGCAGCTGGAGGCTCACATACAGTGCTTTCTGCAGCAGTACAGCAGACAGTGAGAAAAAGTGCAGAGACGTACGTATCTGATGTACTTCTGCATGACTTCCTCCAGAGGCCGTAGACCCTCCTTGAGGAAGATAGATGGGTTCCACATGGCTGCTCGGGCCACCATAACTGAAGAGGCTGCCGTGGTTTGTCGGAAGTCCTCTATGTCCAAATAGCCTTGGATGTGGTCGTGAGAGCCCCCACTGAAAACCAGCAGAGGTGTTAGGTGTATCTGCATCATGTTTCCAGAAAACAGCAACCTCAGATCTGCCACTCATTAGCTGTGCAGCTTTGGACAAGTCCCCTCAGCTGTCAAAGCTTTGGTAAAGTGCAGATTATAATACACACCCACTATGCAGTTAGGAGCACTAAGTGAGCTAATATATGGAAAGTAGCCTGGATCATGCCCGGCACTTAGGAAGTATTCCAGAAATATTACTTTCCTTCCCCCTCATCCTGGCCAAAGCAGAGGGTAAGCGAAAAAGAGGAAGACCTTCAATGAGATGGACTGACACACTGGCTGCAACAATGGACTCAAACATAGCAATGATTATGGGGATGGCATAGGACCATCTGTTGTTCTGTTGTACACAGGATCACTTTGAGTTGGAACTGACTCGACAGCACCTAACAACAACAACTTCCTGGCTAAAGCTAGCCCACATCTGAAGACATGAATCTATAACTGGGTATTGGGACCATAGGCAAACACCTATATGCCCACTAAGGGCTGTGTCAAAACCCTGGAGAGGAGAACAGACACATTGATCATGAGAGGAAGGAAGGAAGCCCAGCTTGGCTGCAATTTCCCCTCCCTCCACCTGCTGCCCCAAGGTCCGCTTGGAAACTGCTCTGTCCTCGTTTATTCTTTCAGGAGCCAGGAATCAGCCTCAGCCAAGTCCTCAAGAGGCAGACAACACAGCAATAGCACCCAGGGTCTTGAGTAGTCCTACCTTCTCCAAACCCCCTCTAAAACTCCTTGCCCTGGGGAAGGGCAGCCTGGCTCCCACCCTGCCACTAGTGCCTCCCTCACACATCAATCAGGCATGCCTTTTGTCAGGGCTTTGGAGTTTCCTTGTCCCCACACTCCATCAGGCTCTGTGCTGTCCTAAGGTGCTGAGTGGGACTTCCATCTGCTCTCCACAGGCCAGCTCCACAATGGCAGCTAGAAGGATCTTACTACTAAGCCTTTGGGCTGGTCATTGGTCCCTCACACCTGCTAGTCTAGGTTCCTGGTCCTATAACCATGCAGAATGCTTGTCTGGGCTTCCAAGTGTAACCTGCCTTGAGCTCTCTGAGCTACGGCTCTATGTGCTCTGGCTTGGGACTCCTCACATGGCTCCCTACACCCAGCATACCTAACTGCGTGTGACATCACCTTCCCCTAGGCCTGCTTTGGAGGCCACCTTCTGCTCCTCCCTGTCCGTGAACACTCCCATCCCCAAGCAGTCCATCCCAATGCCCTGGGCCCCTGCCTACTGCTCAGCCACACTTGCACATACCAGAAGCCAAAGGACCTGACTTACACAGGAGGCACTCTTTAGCCTCATTCCCAACCTCATTTTTCATTCCACCTTTTTTTTTCCCCTTAATGTCACTTTTTTATGCCATTTCATTTTTGTACACTTGTTCAAATCCCCTCTGAATGAGATGGGGCATAATCAGGTAAATGAAGAAGGGAGACTTACTTGGCTATAACAGGGATGGAGAGGGTTTCAGCAATGGCTTTGATGGCCTCGCAGCTGACAGGGTGCTGAGGTCGCTCCTCTCGTTTCCTTAGAAATAAAGAGACAGGGTTCAGGGCTGAATGTCAAAGGCTATGTCTCAGCTCATACAGGGTCACTCTGGCCAAAGGCTGCTGTCCTCCCTACTGAACCTTGGGAAGGCCAGGTGGCCATCAAGGGCAAGGATCTGGCCTGCAGGGCAAGGCTCTCCACCAGCCCCAGAAAAGAACTCTGCAGTTAGGGCAGGAGCAGCACAGGGCCGTGTGGAGAAGGCAAGGCCAGCTCTCAGAGGACTGCAGGGGTAGCATGGCTGCAGAGGGCGCATATGGGTGGCATGCTCCCAAGGTCTCATCACACTGCCCTGGCTCCCCGCTTGACTCTGTCAGAGATGGAGGACAGTGCCAATAGAACGCTGTCCCTACTGCCCGGGTCCTGCACTCCCCAGGAGACTGGGAACAGCTGCCACCACTCAGACTGGCCCCTCCCACACAGCTGCCTATGCTGGGGCCAAGTTGCACAGCTGATCCAGGGGAGAGACACCTGGCACAGGGTAGGCCCTGCGCCCGGGGCAACCAGGACAGGCCATAGACCATGGCTGTCACAACAAGCCACAGGGGAGGCAGGACCACAAATCCCAGGGCCCCTCCTTCCAAGGTTAGCTACAAGTTCTCGTGTATGAACCAGTGAGCCTTAGGGATACTGAGATGAGCCATAACCTGGGCAGGGAAAAGCAGAAGAGGTAGTCAACCTGATAGCCCTTGCCCAGGTCTTCTCTGGGCATGACCCCTCTACTACTGTCCTCAACATATGAGTCAAGGGCCATAGGGTCTCTGAGAGCTCTCTCAGTCCACCCTCCCCATCTTGTACCCCACACCCCCAACTGCCAGTTTTAGCCCATCCTGAATAGATTTGATGACCAGAAAGTCCTTACTTAGACTCACTCAAATATCTCTTACTAGTGTTTCCAATTGCTAGTGAAAGTAATAGCTTCATTTATTAAGATAATCCCGGGTACAAGGCAGTGTGCCAAGACTTCCTATTCACAGTCTCATAACATTCTCATGACAGCTCTATAAGGCAGAAATTATCTTAACTTCCAGATAAGGAATGTGGATCTCAGAGAGGTTAGGTGATTTGCCCAAGGACACACAGCTAACAAGCAGCAGAGCTGGGATCTAGGCAGTCGGAGTCCAAAGCCTGCTGCCTTGGGAGGGAGGAGCACGTGTGTGTGGCCCTCACCTCCCACTCCTGGCTTTAATCAGAACAGCTCTGCTTTTCCCGGTTTTATGTATTAGAGTTCTGGGTTCTGGCTTTAACCAGCAACCCGGGCTGGCCCTACAAGACCCCTGAACCCAAAAGGAACATCACTCAGAGAAAAGAGGTCACTCTGGCCAGAGCCCATTGACCTGCAATTCTGTACATCCCAGACACAGGGAGTGAATTTGACTTGGAAACCGAGGGTAGTCTTCAGCCACACCTCAGCTCTCAGCAGAGAGCACATTAGCTACAGATATAAGGACTATTAAAAGTAGTCATTATGACAGCTGGTGGCCCAACAAAGGCAGACAAAAAGGGGCAGTGCCTTTAAAAGAACATCAGTCTGCCTGGGGTCATATGAGGGTGAAGCCATTGCTCAATGTTGTGGAAAGAAAATGGGATTCAGGGTCAGACTTCTAGTTCCACTATTTTGGCAGCACAATACAGATTTTGAACAAATCATCCAAACTCTACCATTTACACAGCCTGAGGGTAGGGGCACTTCTGCTTCCTCTTGGTCTCTCTGTGTCTGTAAAGGTCATTGCAGTACCTACACCCAGTAGATGCTCAATGAATGAAGCAAAGACAAATGCAAGCCCAGAGAGGATCTGACGGCCCTCAGGCTTCCCAGGATGTCAAAGAGCTGGGCAGAGGTAGGTTGAATATGTGGAAAGGAAGTTTGTCCTTCACCTGGGCAAGAGTAACTAAGGTGGCTGAGGACTGTCCTTTCCCAGAAATTCAGTCACTAGAAAGGCAACCACTCACCTCCCATGAACTGCGATGGCAGCAATGCCAGTCCTCTCGATCCGCTTCACGAGGCTCAAGGTGTCCTCCAGCTAAGGAAGAGGACCACCCAGGGTGATTACTGAAGCCCCAGAAGGAGCAGCTGCCAGCTCCTAAAGTGGGCTCAGCTCCACCCCTCCTCCATCCTACTTCAGCCTCTCCAGAATCACGCACACCCCCAAATCCAACCTCACAAAGAGAATGCACCTTCAAATGTAATACACCATCCTTACCGATGGCAGAATGCGAATCTTGCAGGTCACAGGTCTGCATGTCCCTTTAACAAGCGTGCTGAGGATCTGCAGAGAGGAGAACACAAGGGCACCTGCCTCATCTGCAACAACCAACCACAACTGCTCATACGAATTAACTCTGTTACAGACCTTTGCAGCCCAATGGCATGGACAGTTTGTCTATGTGCGTGTATATGTGTGTGTGTGTGTGTTGCACGCATATACATGTAAGCTCCATGAGGCAAGGAGTCTGTCTTTGTTCTGTACTAGAGCCCCAACACCACAACTCCCTGCCTGGCACATACTGGTAAACATATTTGCTGAATGAATGAATGAGAGCATTATGTGTAGATATGCATGCACCCTGTGTGGACCACAGTTATCCTTTGCCAGGGTGAACATCAGAATCACCTGGAGAGCTTAAGAAATACAGAATCTTTAGTTCCACCCCACATTTCCTGAAGCAATCTCTAGGAGCAGAGCTTAGGAATGTGTGTTTTCAGAAGGCTCTGCCCACCACACTCAGATGATTCTGAGGCCTAGCCCTGGTTAAGAACACTTGGCTAACAGCTTTCTTCCTAGCTGAAGGAATGCTCTCTGAGTGCGGTCCCAGGATCTGCCAAGTGAGGGAACAAGAAGGTCTTAGAGGTTCTGGGCCCTTCCATCATATACCCCTCCTTAGGGGAACCAGATACACAGGAATAAAACTGGCAGAGGAAAAGACAACATATTCAACATATTAGAAAGTGCTTATTTGCATAGTAATTGCAAAAGGACCTCAAAGAAAGATCTAGAAGTTACATGGGAAAGTGTCAGGGAGGTAGCAAGACCAGACCATGTGGGAATCAGAGATCAAGAGAGGTACAGATGGGAGCAGGGGGATGGCAGTCTAAGCAGTGGCATTTTTATATTCTTCCCTCATCGGAATTCTTTCAGGCAAGGCAAGCTGGAGGGAAGATGATCCCAAGAGCCGTCTTCCAAGAACTGGGTCCCTGGTGAGCAGAACAGAGGGGATACTCAGGCAGCTGCTGCCAGTCTTGATTCTAGGCAGGTGGGGGCAGCAGAGAGCCGAACTGCAGGAGCCAGTGGAAGTGGCCTTTTTCTCAGGGACAGGCTAAGGCTGGGCAGGACCACTCAGGCCACTTCAGAAGACATCAGACCAAGGGTCTGGGCTGACAGGCAGGTAGACAGGTCGTGGGCAAGACAGGGTCTGCTGGTCCAGCCACAACTGAGTGGGGCTGGCAGGGAGAAGCAGTCCCCAGGAGCTGGTCCAGCAGGTAAACTGGGCCTGAGGTCCTAGGGTCACCCTGGCAAGCCTTAAAGGGGCACCTACCTTTTAAGGTGGACTGCCAGGTCTATTGAGACACAGTAAAAATTCTCTCTAGTCCTAGCCCTCAGGCTGAAAGTACCATCTCTGGAAGGTTCCCTTGCAAGTCCAGACTTAGAATTCTCTGATAATTGGTGATTTAAGCAACACCAGCTGGTCTGATCTAATTCTCTGTTTTGCAGAACTTCCTTCTGGTGTATTTTATCCAAGTCGAAGCACTTTCTTCGGTATTTCTCTTCATTTCATGTGTGTTTTCAGGACCAGGAAGGATATTAGGTAACTGAAAGTCCCAACCACTTGCAGAGGGTCACGTAGAGGGAAAAGGACAACTCGAGTCCAATTATTATTATCTCTCTGTGCTTACTTTTATTATCTTTGATCAAATGGCAATAATAAATGCCTCCACATCTACCCCAAGAGGTTTCTGGAACAAATAATTACTATAATATACTTTGAACACACACACACACACACACATACACACACACACACACACACACAGCCCTGGTGGTGTAGTGGTTAAGCACTTGGCTGCTAACTGAAAGACCAGCAGTTTGAACCCACCAGCCATTCCACAAGAGAAAGACATGGCAGTCTGCTTTCATAAAGATTTACAGCCTTGGAAACCCCGTGGGGCAGCTATACTCTGTCCTAAAGGGTCACTATGAGTCAGTCAAATTGACAGCAATGGGTTTTTTTTTTTTTTAGTTATAGACAGATAAAAATAAATATACAGATATATTTATCTATATATAATCTATAAGCACTGGCTGCCAACCAAAATGTTGGTAGTTCAAAGCCACCGAGTGGCTCCACAGGAGAAAAGACCTGGCGATCTGTTTCTGTAAAGATTACAGCCTAGAAAACACTATGGAGCAGTTCTGTGTCACATAGGGTTGCTGTGAGTCAGAATTCACAACAACAACATAGGAACATTATCTGTTACTGCACCTGAGAAAAATGACAAGGGACCTAACCAGTAAACGCGCTGATCTTCCTGTATCCAAAAGATAGCAGACTAGAGGAATATTACAGGGTTGGGCTGCTGATGCAGCAGCCAGCACACATGATGGCAACTCCTGCAGGCGGTGCCTTACCCTCAAGTCACCCTAGCCTGAGGAAGGTACCATGAGACAGAAAGCCTATAAAGTGGAGATAAAGAATGAAAAGGAAAACAAAGGAGCGAAGTGGCACAACAAGGAGACAGCTGGTGGACTGGGAGAGGAAAGCAAAGGGTGCATACAGTATGGCAACAAATGTCACCCCCACGTGCTCTGGCAGCTCACAACACTGGGTATCAAACGTCAACCTGCCCCCAGGGCCTCATTAACCTGGCCTGCAGAATCACCAAGGGAAGGGGCACAGAGGGAGGCTAACTTCAGCTTGCTTCATCTGACCCCGGCCTGGCCTACTCTCAAAGGGCTGGTGGCAGACTGCACTACACAGGGGACCCACTGTTGCTCTCATCAAGCCCCCGAGAGACGTCAATTCCCCCATCTCCACAGCCACAGAGCCTGCTGTGATCCACACGTAGCCTGGCCTCTGATCTCAGGATTGTCCCAGAAGGAACAGGGACAATAAAGAGGGGGCTCTAAACGAGTCCTCAGGTCCCCCTGGCTCTCAGCTGAGGAGTCCCTAGCCCTGGGCTTATAAGGGACTCCAAGGATGCTATAGGCTGGCTCAGGGGTTCCCCAAACTGGTTGCACATCAAAACCACTGGAAAGCTTTTCCCAAATTTCCAGGCTGCAGGTGGAAGACTGATTCAGTAAATCTGAGGTAGGGATAGGGGCATTCCAGGTGTCTCTAGTTCATAGCCATGTTTAAGGACCCTTGCTTTCACCCATGCAGGGCTTACCTTCTCGATCTTGTCAGGGTCTGACAGCAGAGCAGCTCCCATTCCTCCCTAATGAAAAGCACACAAAGGTTTTCTTACAGCTGGAGGAGGATGGCCCCATCCCATGGTGTGGCAACTTGGCACCCCCTCAGCACTCACCTCCAAAGGACCAACATCCACTGGCAATCAGCTCTGCTCTTAACAAGTAGCAAGGCAGTAGCATCCCTGCCCACAATATCAGGAATTAGAGTCTGATGAATTCTAAATGTCATCACTCTGACCCTCTTGGCAGAACCCATGATCTATCTAGAAGAGGGTTCTACAAAAATTATCTTTCAGGTCTGTCCACTCTCTACCCAGGATGCCGGAGCCTTAAACTAAATTGCACCACCTTCCAAGCCCTTAAAAAACAATGAATTACTCGCCCTTTGAAATGAGAAAAAAGAATGCACTTTCTCCCTATCCTACACAACACTTGGTTTGATAACCACCACCAGCAAAGCCACTCAGAGGCACCCAACCTGCAAACCTTGTCCAGGCCCTTGTCTCCTGACAGCAACAACGATCCAGTCCCAAGTACACAGACCAATACCAAACTCTAAGCCCCAGCTCAGAGAAATCACCAACTCCTGCAGCTGCTTAAATCTCACTATTAACATCAGTGGTTGTCTCTTGATGGTTGTCTCTTATTGGTGATTTTCCTGTTCTTTTCTGTATGTTTCTGTACTTTCCAAATTTTGGACAGTAGTATGAATTACTTGAATAATCAGGGGGGAAATCTTTTTTTCTTTTTCCTTTTTTTTATTGTTGTAGTTTCGATGAAGTTTACATTTCAAGTTAGTCTCCCATACAAAAATTTATACACACATTGTTATGTGACTCTAATTGCTCTCCCCATACTGTGACCGCACACTGCTCCTTTCTACCCGATTCCCCATGTCCATTCAACCAGCTCCTAACCCTCTCTGCCCTCCTATCTCACCACCGGACAGAAGCTGCCCGTTTAGTCTCTTGTATCTACTCGAGTTAAGAGGCACACTCCTCACAAGTTATCTCAGGGAGGAAATCTTTAAAAAGATCATTTAAAAATCTTATTTGAATCCATTGCTCAGAGGCATTATGTACACTGCATTTTAGGAGTGAGGTGTAGGGAGAAAACAAATCCAATAAGTCTATGCTGTCAGTATTCAGACTGCATACCAGTGAATGCTCATGAGAGGTGCTCAAAGGCTTAGGCTTGAGGTCAGTTATTATAGTTTAATTTCACGTTTAAGGATGACAGATTAGAATCAGAGAGAACATTAAGCTACCACAGACTTGGCCAGGCTGACGCTGCATCTTAGAAGAGAATGAGAAGGGTGGAAGAGCCCAGTCCTGGACTACCCTGACCGTAAATACAAACCTTGAAAGCCTTGAGGAAGCCTGGTCACTCACCCTGGCTCTAGCTGCCCTTCACCTCACACTATCCAGCGCCTCCTTATGGAATCACAGGATCTAAAATCCAGCCTCACTGCCCCTTCCTCAATGGGTGTCTGTTTTTTTTCTTCCTCCCTCCCTCCCTTCTTTCTCTCCTTCCTCCCTCCCTCTCTCTCCCCTCCCTCCTATCTTTCCCTTCCTTTGTTATCTTTCTTTCTTCTGCTTACTTGCTTTTTTGAATACATAATATATTAACATGGATCAAAATTTAAGAGGTTCAAAAGGTACCCTCCTCAAGAAATGCAAGATTTTTCAATCTATACTTTTGCATGGTTTCAATTTTTAAAGCCTGAGAACAGAGCAGCTATTAGGCTGGTGTATACCAGTATGGCCTAATGGTTGGCATCTGTTCTGACTGGTAGGTGCCGGTGCTGTGCAATTAAAAGTTGTTAATTACTGTTAATAAATACCCTGTAATGGGAATTTACTACCTGTGCAAAATCAAATAAAAATGCAAAACAAAGTCTCTCTTTCACCTCTGTACCCCCAGCCCACTTAGTTTTATTCTTCAAAGAAAACCAATGTTAGTAGGTTCTTGCGCACCTTTCCAGATAAATTTTATGAATAAAAAGTAAATGTATATAAATATTAATCCCCCCTTATATAAATGGAACAATTTTGTTCCACAATGTTTCAGGGAGATCACTCCAAATAATTTCAACTCTGCTCTTTTTTTTTTCAATTTTTTCCCATACAAAAATTTATACATACATTGTTATGTGAGTCTAATTGCTCTCCCCATACTGTGACAGCACACTCCTCCTTTCCACCCCTAATTCCCCATGTCCATTCAACCAGCTCCTAACCCTCTCTGCCTTC